TGCCCCTGCTTCAGTGGGTTCTTTTAGGGCACGGTGTCCTTGAAAACCCCATCCAATTCAATTAAAACTAGCAAAACTTAACTTCTTTCTCGCTTTGGAGTTCATAAGCAAACACGAAAGTTTAATAGTCTCACACCCTGGGGTGCCATGCTCTCCCCTCTTGGGAAAAACACCCCACTTTGCAAGCTTTCACTTCAGAGGATATGTTTCTATTGCAACCACCCATTCTGGATTCTGTCCATCCAACATTTGGGTGAGATTTTCTACATCCCTTTTGTCAACGCTTCATGTCAGCGCACTTTACGGAACAGGCGAGACTGGCGTGGGGCTTGCTATGAGGGAGAAATGAAGGGTTTTGTCTCCTGTGCACAGTGCAGCTGCGAGCTCAGACAGACCTTTGCTGGCTGCACGTAACTGTTGTAGTTGTTTTCTCCGGAACTTATTTTGTTGTGTTTTGCTTTGCTTTTGCCATGATTTTTGGGTTCTGTAATTTTGCTTTTGAGGGGCAAAGCTTTCATTTTCTTTGGTTTTAATTATCTAATGGAGTGACTTTAAGCTGTAAATGACATGGTGCACATATGCTGTCTTCCTAAGTGAGGATCATAGTGAAGGTTTTCTGGCTACGTGGCTGTGCATGAAGGGAAACTAGTAAGCGGAATCCTTGAAAATTTAGGGCAGCCAGTTTGTCTAAAACAGTAATATGTGTTTGGTATTTGCATATACATCTGCAATATTATTTACATGTTTAAATGTTACAGTCAGTCATTCTTTCAAGAGGTGTTAAGAGGTTTTACTGAATACTCTACATTCATTATAAAATTAGCAAGCTACTTTCTAAAAATTTTTCAACAGTAAATATTGAACAGTAAATATTTCAGTAGCCATCAAAATACCATTATATTAGACATTTTGGTATATGATATCTACACGTATTTTTTTTCCCTTTGGATAGTGTTTTCACATAGTCAAGCTCATATTATATACATGTGTGTTATTACACAAAACTTTATAATACTGAGGATTTATTTTCAAGTTATAAGTCTGGAAAGTTCAATGGCCTGTTCAAAAATTGCCCTTCTTAAGACTTTGCTTTGATGGCCACCTTAGAGTCAATGGATGAATTATACTCAGCAGTTTTCATTCAAGAAATACATGTTGCTCAGCTCCTGTTAACCAGACCCTGGTGGTACATGGAGAGCAACATCATATATCATACATTTCATCATACATTCTCTTCATGAGACTTACAGTCCAATTTGGTGACAGACAGCATAAAATTACACCAAAAAATGTACCATTAAAACCATGAATTATAGAGCAAAATGTTAACATCTGCATAATCTCAGTGGTGGGTGTGTGGGTGTAAGTTGTAGTCTTTCCTGTCTTTTCATGTATTAAAAGTATTTCAATATGAAATAATTCTGATGCTGAAAAAAATAAGTTATACCTATGAAGAGTGCTGCCATAACGGCATTCAAAGGAGGAATATGACCTTTTCTAGGGTGTCAGGAAAGCTCCCCAGAGCAAATGCTGATGGAGCAGAAGTAGGGAAGGAGGAAAAAAGTTGACTATACCAAACTGTGTGCGTGTGTGTGCGTGCATGTGCATGTGCATGTGCATGCACAGATGTGTAAGGCGGCCTCGCTAGGCAGATATTTGAGGCAAATAAGGTCAAGAGGGCAGGTGAAAAGGGAGAGATTATGGATTATTTGTAGATAGGCCACGATGACCCAGGTTGAGCTACATGCCAGGGATGAGGTGGGAGCGAGAGGAGACACAACCAGGCAGACATGATCGGGTCCCTCTGCCCGGGGTGTCTAAGTAACTCAGGGGCAGGAAGAGTGGTTGCATATTTCCCGACCTCATGGACTGAACAGGCAAACTGCAGCTGGAAGACTAGCCAGAGACTCACCGGCTACTAGCAGGGGCAATAGAAAAAGGGAAGCGATTCAGGGAGATTGTGAAGAAAGCATCTATAGGAAATGGCCACTCATGAAATGGAATGAAAAATAAAATAACTAGCATGGTGTTCCTCTCAGGAACCGGTGCTGCACCTAAGTTGTGCAGTCAGCGGGAGACTGACTTTTGGCTGGAGTTGGTGAAGATGGGACGATTAAAGTGAAAATGATCCTGGAAGAAGTGAAAGCTTTTTGTAGCACATTTGCCATGATGGTGAGGATTTCATGGGGAGAGACTTATTGGAAATGTGGCCAGTGACAAAGTAGGATGGGTTTTAGAAGAGATCAAGAAGTTTCATCCATTCTAACTTTCATGCTATTGCTTTTTATCACAGGATCAGCTCGAAGTCTGAGGTGTTTGGGTTAATCTTTGAAATACAGTTTTTTAAAAAAGGCAGAATGGTTTGAATTTTATTTTAGGTTTTGGGGCTCTCTTCGTTCAGTTATTCCATGTATAAAGGCCTGTACTTAGTAATTAAGTGGGTAGGACTCTGTTCCTACCTTAGCTTTACACTTAATAGTTATGTGCGCTTTGTCCAATTATTTAATTGCCCTGTGTCTTCATTTCCTTACCTTCAAAATGGGCTTCCTGGTAAGCAAGGTTGTAGTGAGGATTCAGTGGATTAACCCTACAATGTAAGAATAGTGCCTGGTACCTCAGAAGATGCCATTACGATATCCAAAAGCAAAATTACCAAATAATACAAAACTAGATAAACGAGTCGATTTGAATTTGTTTCCTTGACTTTAAACGAGAGCTTAAAAACACAATTTCATGTTTCACATGGCTCCCGTCTCAAACGGGCTCGTTGAGCATAATGTCCTCTGGGTTTATGTGTGTTTCAGAAGGCAAGATTTCTTTCTTTTTAAGGGCCAAATAATATTCCACTAGACATCTTATATGCTTTTTCTGTGATATATTGGCAGACACTTGAGTTGTCCCCTATTGTGGCTGTTGTGATTAATGCTACAGTACACGTGGGAACACAGCAGAGATTCTGAGTTCCTGTTCTTTGCATATATACCTAGATGTGGATTTCTGGGTCATATGATAGTTCAATTTTTAATGTTCTGAGAACCCTCCATACTCTTTCCATGGGGGCTGTGCTGTCGCTGTCTACGGTCCCGCGAAGAGTGTGCAGCTGCTCCCTGTCCCTCGTCCTGGCTGACACTTAGCTTTTGTCTTTTTGAAACCAGAACAGAAGGGCTCTCTTGCATAAGTGTAAGGGAGCTTGTGGGAGGTCTCTGTCTTCTTGCTGCTTTACTTGACCTACTTAATTCAAGTCCAGAAGATATCATAGGAAAAATATAGAACTATTAAAAGAAGTTATGTCAGAACATAAAGGTTTCCAAAAAGATTGTCAATCTCTAAAATTCTCCGTATGCGTTAGTGGTGATTGAGAATCCCTCTCTTCCTTTTTACTTTCATTCTATTTTTTCTGTGCTACTTATTTTCAGAGAAGAACAGAAAGGTGATGCAGCAAAACTAGGAAAAGGAGCTCTCAGTCTTAGGGGATTGTTAGTCCTATAAAGCCTTATCAGATGACAGGCAGACTAAGATGCAATTGTAATTATCCGTAATTACTGTACACATTGGATTGCTGTGATTTTGAAAGTTATATTCTACAAAACAAGGGCTGAACATAACATAAGCCCAAATAATCACTTAGATGTTTCGTTCTAAAATCCTAGTCTAAAAACATCCATAGTCTAATATCTTTAGTCATATAGTATTAGTTGATGATAGGATGCTGTAATGTGCATGCGTTATTTTCCACAGTCTTCTTTAATATGCTGTGCTTGAAGGTCATCTGTGTATAATGGAGTAATTTTTCAAATAGTTATATCAGGTACACATAGAAGCAGATATTGGGATTTGTGTTAATTTCTAAAAGACTAAACAAAAGGCTAAGGATTTTCTGTTTTGAACAGTTTATTTTCAGCATGCGTATATTTGTGTTCACCTGCTCGCTAGGCCACAGTTTTTTTCTCTCTATTGCAAGGTGCCAGATTCACCAGTCTGTGGCATCCTACTGTTTGTACAGTGTGATCACATTTGCATATCACATTCAGCAACTGCAGAGAGTTGCCAGTTGCCATGGTGAGGATTATGATGTCCCACCTCAAATCTAGTCATGAGATGGAGGTGGCCTTTTAAAAACCACATGCAAATATTTATTTTCAAAGGTACAGCTAAAGCTGTGCATTATCTGAGTGATTATCTTTTCACTGAATCATCAGATGAGAAGTCCATTATCCTCTGAGTTCCCTTTTTGTTTGAATACACTTCCACTGCCCTCTACCTTAACCCCTGCACCCCTGTTATACCAAAAATCCATATGGTATAATTTTACTCTCCTTTTTGATTGTATGAATTAGCAAGATTATTTGCTTGCTTGGTCCGCTTTGTCTGGATTGTAACCTCGGGGCTGGCTGGCATGCTCCACCCTAAGTTCAGTCCCTATTCCCCTCTCCCTGTGGATCATGATAAACAGCACAAACACTTCTAGGGTGACCCTTGAAACATGAAGGGGACAGTCTCTACCTCTGGGCTTTCTCTATAATGTGTCTCAAAATATTTGTATGATTTTTTAATTTTTTTTTATATTTGGGGATTACTTGTCAGAGTAAGTAAAAAGAAAATTGTATTTAAAAGTTAATTCATTTTCTTAAAACCAGTTTGCAAAACTCTTGTACTGTCATCCTGAGTGATGCTAAACTATTAAATTAATTCCTTTGGGACTTAGCTAATAATTAGTTGAGTAGATGAATTAGTTTAATCATTTAAATGCAGAAATTAATTTTTAAAACTCAATGATTTTCTGCAGCTGTCAAATGCAACTTACAACTGCATTTTCTTTACCTTCAATGATTAGTTGAATCCAGGTTTGGTAAAATGCAGAGGGGTCTGGCAGGTGCAAAATAAAAGGTGTTACTTATAAAATGTCCTTTTGTATAAAATAAAAAAACGAAATAAAAAGTAAAAGAGAAATTCTACTGTGACACATTGTGAGGCTTATGATAACTCTGTTTGCCTTTCAGATCCCCAGCTCAAGGGTATAGTGACCAGGTTATATTGCAGGCAAGGCTACTACTTGCAAATGCACCCCGATGGCGCTCTCGATGGAACCAAGGATGACAGCACGAATTCTAGTAAGTGACAACCTCAGGCCACCAGTTAACACAGTTGGTGGAAGATACGCTGCTACTTAAATGGCTTTTTACAATATATTTGCAAATATTTGGTTATGCTGGTTCATTTTACAAATGGTATAGGCTAGAATGCCATTTACAATTTTACTTGAACCACAAGGATGAAAATATTAATAGAGCAACAAAAGAATCTGTCATTGCAGGTAATTATAATTTCTTTTATTTTCAAACAATTGTCATATCCAGGTGATTATTGTTCATGTTTAATCTCACTACCACAAAAGTAAATGCGCTAGTACATCCCCATGAAAACTGGTTACCAGTTTACTTTGGATATATTATTTTTATCAGGCCTGTAGCTTCTTCATGATAATTGTGAAAATTCAAGGGCTAGAAGGAAGGATTAGTTGTTTCAAATAATAGAAACAAAAGTTATTAAATTCTTTACATTCAACAAAAAAAGATAATAGCTTTTTTTGTAGGGAGAAAGGCTGTGTGCCTTTGTACAAATATTGTACAAAATATTTAACTACTTTGTAGAAGTGGGACTGTGATAACTTTTGAAATTAAAACACTGCACATCTCTCACTGTATTGCTGTTTATCTTCATTTTATTATTTCATTATATTTCATTGGCTTTGTATTTTTATTCTGGTGTCCCTCCTTACTCAACTGTCTGTTTTTCTTTCCCATTTTCTATTTATACTGGTATCTGGTTCCTTTTAATTTAGCATATCATGTATTGCACCAGTAAAAGCAAAACTGTGTTCATTAGAAATATTGAATCACATTAATAGGGGAGTAGAAGTGGGTATGAATCTTTTCACCCATGTGTCACTTCTTCATATGTAGAGCATCATTTTATGAAAAGAGGGGAGACTCTGAGTACATGTAACCCAAGAATAAGCATTTTCTGGCTTAATAAAATCAAAATGCTAGCAATCAAATTCTCAGTAACATTGAATCTGAGAGCTGCTAATAATATAAAATATATTATTTTTGTGTTCACTATTGCTATGTGAAATGGCATTATCATTCCAGCCATTTTGTTCATTTTTTAGAATTTGGACATTTTCTCATTTAAAAGCTTTTCTTTCTCTTTGCTTTTCAAGTTCTAATTTTTTCAAGTTCTAATTTTCAAGTTCTTTCCTTTTCAAGTTCTAATTATTTTCTCTGTGTGTCTATTTTATTGTCCTTTTGTAATTTTAAACTTTTCATGATCACATTTGTTTGTTGTTTAGTTTTGTTTTATGTCCTCTTTTGATTTAGGAAAAAAGAAATTCAGACATAGGGAAGGAAAAGGAGATATTTTCATTCATAAGTTTAATATCCAACATTCCTTACTTGTAGTTTTGACAGTCGAGCCTTCCAGAATGACCAGTGCTTCACCATCTTTCTGCTAAAACAATGTCAGTTTCTGGTTCAAGCTAACATTTATATATCTGTTTGTGTCTTTTTCCTTATCGTTAAGCCCTTACCCCATTCTTTGATGAAAGGCATTCCCTTTTTTTTTTCATGTCTTACAATTGTGGGGGTCTTGAACTTTAGAGATTCCTGAGTTCTATGTCCACTGTCCTCTGATTGTCCTTGGAGGGAGTCTAGTGGAGCAGAGGATTAGTTTTCTTATTCTGTTCGCTGTGAGAGCTAAGGCCCTGATTTACCAGCCAGAGGCCAAAGTCATCCATCGTGACAAAAGTTTTCAAGAGAGCAAATAAAGTACAATGGGCCTAAATACTGCTTACTTGCACTTCTTGGAAAAATAATTTCCTTCAAAGAAAGGTTTAATGAATTCCCCTAATAGTTTCTTCTTTGTTTTTTGTGATGCCAAATAAGTTGGTTCATTTTAATGACGAGAATCCATGTCAAGGTGAGAAGAATTAAGTAGACACTATCTTTTGAAAGCTTATCGTTTCAGAATTGAATGAATAGTGCAGTATTTACTAAATTGTGAATGTGCAGAGGTAGACATAAGCTTACACACGTTTTTTATATATTTATTACACCATTCTTCATATTTGTACAATGTATGATTTCCTCGTGAAATTCCCACCGCTGTTTTACCTGTGCACCATCACCATAATCCCTTGTAAACACACATTGTTGTACCTGGTTATCTGAAAAAAAAAAAAATAACCATGAAGCTGGAAAGCTGAGATACTGAATGACACTCAGCCTTCTGTTCCTTAAGTGGGAGGGGCTTCTCTCCTCCTACTGTGGAACTGCACTAGCAGGAGCAAGACCTCTGGGTCACTCTTGAAATCCCCTCTAATCCACCTAAGTGCTGGTGATGAAAAGTTCTAGGAACAAAGCAGGAACAGGAGCCCCTTGTAAAAATCAATCAGACCCAAATCACACTCTATGCATTTAAATTCCTGTGTAAAGGTCTGCCCCACAGTCTCTTTTCTTATCAGTCGCATTGCATTTTAAGTGACTTTAAGCCCACTAAGTTAGTTTTGTTATCATTTCAACATTGGCAAAGACAGGGACAGAATAAAATAGAATCAGATAAAAGTTTTCTCCTTAAAAGGCTATAAAAATTGTGTAACGATAAAATTTAATAAAACCTGGCAGGATGATAGCAGTTTTATCAATTCCATGGGAACTGTTAATCAACTCTACTTTTATGTACGATTGCCTTCTTAATTGAAAAACTGTATTTTTTAGGATACATTTTAAGATATTTTCTTTTCTCTTGCTGAGTACAATAGGTTTATGACTCCTAAGAATATCATTAGCTCTGAACAGTATTCTTCAGAAGTGGGGACACACTTGGGAGATGCTGAAAGACAGGTCCTAATTACACTTTTCGGTTTGAGGGTGTGATGAAATAATTCACAAATTTGTTTCAGTGTTTTCTTATAATCCCCTGACACATAACAAGGATTAACCATCTATCATAGAAGAAATAACTTCAAAATTACCCTGAGGCCACACCAACAGTGACCAAATGCTAAAACTGAGGCTTAAGCCTTCAACTCAACACTTAACCCACACGAAATAGGAAATTATTTAGTTACGTAACATTAGGACCACCTTGCTAAGCTGCTTTTGTGAATGTTTCTAGGTGAGTTGAGAAGAGGAAGAAATAACAGCAGGCGGATAACCTGAATCTAGCGCCCTGCCAGGGCCTCTGTCTTGAGTTCTAGACACTTTCAGAGCAGAATGGCAAGAAAATGGCTGATGACGGATAACTGGTCCCCCTAGAGGGGCTCTCTGGCCACTTGATGCTCATTACTGGCTTCCACGTGCCTTTAAAGATCTTGACAGGAGGAATGCATGCAGGGCTTCTCCGTGACCACGCTCAGTTTCAGAGGGGTAGTCTTTAAATTCCCCAGAGCTTCCCTTCCCATCTCTCTACTAGGCTCTGTGCCCTTCACTTCACTCATCACTGTCCCCAACACCAGGCCTGCGAGATGCTGTAAGTGGAAGAGGACCGCAGGGTCTCCACATGCTGGTAGCTGTGCAGTATCAGAACCTCACACAAACAGTGCCTCTCACCTTAGAAATTCCCAGTCTGGGACTTGATGTGTGAACCCTGCTCATCGCTCTAAGATTCCATCACCCTGCCAGCCTCCGGAGGACAGTCCTCACCTTGGCTGTGCCTTGGGGTCATGCCCTCCCTCTACCCACCCCGAGAGACGCTGACTTAGTGGGTCTGGGTGGACATGAGCATCGTCACTGTCCTGACCCCCCAGGTCTGGTGACATTGCTCTGTAATTGAGCAAAATACAATAAGAGTGAAAAATATGTAATATGTCTCAGTTAATGTGGTTTTAATTAGCACCTTAGATACATCACAATTTGCTCCCACATGGATTTACTTTATGCTATTCAGTAGCTGGTAATAGCTTATATTTTATAACAGGTCCAAAACAAAATTCTGGGAGGATTAAAACAAGTTGTTGTTTTGTTTTTGTTTTGTTTTGTTTTGTTTTGTTTTTGGTATGGTCACTTTAAACTACCTTCTATAATTTTTTTTCTTCCTATCGCATTATTTTGGTGAGTGCACCTGCCTTCTAGCATTATACCATCTAGCCTTATTATACAGGGCACCTAAAATGACATGAGGTGTGTATAAAGGTTAGGATAATTAGATTTGGATGAGTAGGGCTAGACAGGCAAGCAAGTATTTTTTCCCACAGAAACTTATGTGCATAAATCAGAATTGTCCTATGTACTCAACCTTTCCAAATGTGGGAGAGATAGAGCCCTGGAGGTGATCTCGATGATCATGAAGATGTCCCAGGGCTGGCCTTCTCCCATGAAGAAAGGACATTGAGAGTTCAATGACCCAGGTACTTCGTGCCACCCAATACCTGCACACTCAAGTTTAATATTAAATAACAGAAACAAGAAAACATAAGTCTGGGGCCTCCCTGGTGGCGCAAGGGGTTAAGTGTCAACACTATGAAGCTATCTCCAGCCACTGCAGCACAAGTTCTGTCCCTGGCCAGGGAGCTGACCCACATGGCGCAGCAGACCTCTCTTGTCTCCCCGCTGCTCCCCTCAGCAGTGGATTTCAGTAGATCCACCTGTTCTGCTCTCCACTTTGTCTCTGGTGAATCCTCTCACCCCCTGCACCTCTGGCCTACACCTCAGTTCTTGTATCATAAATAAATACATCTTTAAACATAAGTACCATTTCTTCATAAAGATATCATAAGCCCTAGAATCCTAGGAAGATAGTCCAGTGTTAGTGAAAGCTAAAATCCACCAAATCACACATGCCCCCAAGTATCCTTGTAGGGACAGAGGCTTCAGGCCATGTCCTGCCACTCTCTTGTCACATCTGTGTAGCACAGACCTCCTGGGATCTTAGGATAGTAACGTGTCATAGCTGGAAGAGAGTGTCATTTCTCCTACTATTCAGAGGAAACATGTGTCTGGAAATTAAGGAGAACATAATTGATGAAGTCCACTTTAATTATGAGTCGACCTGTAGATTGAATCAAAATTGCCCACATTTTTAAAATGACTTATGTTTTGTGCAATAAAATCGAGACACTAAACATCATTTTATTTATACATTTTAGTACATTCAATGCCTGTGCTAACCTGGCCCCATTGTTTAGAAATAGACTTGAATTAAGAACTTGACTAGAATTAGATAAGCTCCCTGTGGATGATAATGTCTATCTTCCGTTTGTGATAAAATATCCCAAATCACAAGCAGTTTTCACTAAGAATGAGGCTATGGCACCCATGTGCCACCCACATGTAACACCGGCATGAAAATGCTTTACAGGATGTTAAAAATTCTTTTAAAAATGTATAACCTTGCTCTCTGCACCTGGGGAAAATATACTTACAGACTCTTTTTCTGTTAATAAGAAACAAAACTTGGAAACATGAGTGAATTTTTATGTTAGGTGGGAAAATTGAGCCTGTTCCCTCTTTCATTTTCATTTTATGAAATATTAATAAAACTGTCTCGCATTTGCATGCCATACAGTGTAATTACTTCCTTCTAATTTTAGCACAGAGGCAGGTGCATGTATTTTCTGGGCTCTGCCAATACACCCTGTTGGCCCTGCGAGAGTAATTTAGCTCGGGAATTACCTCTTTAACTTCTGGCCCGCTCCGCACTGCCATGATGAAGCAGCCCTCCTGCCTCAGAGACCAGAACGTAGCTTCACTGGGGACTGCTTCGGTTCTACTCTTTGAGAAGCATCACAGCTGATCTCTTCTGGCATCACATGATGTCAGAGGCTGTGAGGCCAGAGTCCTAACTCCAGGTGTGAGTGTTTATCACCCACCTGTTACGCAGAATGCTGCAGACAGATCTCTAATCTGCAAACTGCAGCTCAAACGCTAACTTCACCCACAGCAGAATCTTGTGAAAGACAGAGAAATACAAGCGAATGAATTGGAATTCCTCAGGAGGTTGTGACAAAGATGCTGTTAGTTTTAAATAAAGGCGAAGAGACCGCAGGAGGGCAGGGCTGCCTCTTCCTGGCCCTCGGTGACCGTGGTGTTTGTCTTCCAGCACTGTTCAACCTCATCCCAGTGGGCCTGCGCGTCGTTGCCATCCAGGGCGTGAAGACAGGCTTGTATATTGCCATGAATGGAGAAGGTTACCTCTACCCATCAGTAAGTACCGTGCCAAAGCCTTTGGCTGCCCACTCAATGTTCACAAAATGCAACAGCAGCAAATCCAAAAATAAGTCCGATGCTTACAGATTCTGCCATTTTGGCTTTGGTATTTGGTTTTGCTAGAATGCTGAAAAGACTGTTGATTCATCATTTGCCAATGTTTGATAATATCAGGACAGCTGGCAGAAGAGTGCTAGTACATCTCAAAGTTGTACATTCGCCTTATTTTTAAAAATGCCCCAGTTCGTAGAAAATTGAGCAATTTTCAAAGCGTTGATCTTAATATAATCTTTTCTATTTTTATGTACAAATGCACTTGTAAAAATATTTTTAAATGAAACAGAATGAATGTGAATTCAAAAAATAAGAAAAGTAAAAAAAAGAAAGATTAGTTCTTTTAAAAATAAGAATTCTGATTTTGAAAATATTTTGCTGGGAAAATACTTTCAACTTCAAAATGTATATTGCTTTAAATCTAAGCAAGTCTCTGTTTTGTGTTAATGTGTGTTAGAAATTGATCAATTTTCATATAGCTTCCTCTGGGATAATTACAAATAATTCACATTCAGATGGGCTATAGAAATATATTCTAATGCAGCTAAAATCCATTTCTGCCACAGGTCCAAGCAATGCGGACTTAGATGAAAGTATATCTCTCCCTTGAGTAAAAATGAATAGATCGAAGTTATTGCCTCAAAGAATAATGTTTTATTTGTGATCGCATGTCATCTTCATATAAATACTTTAAAACTGTTAATTATCATCCATAAAAAATACATCAGAACATGCGTCCATTACACACACATGCACAAATGTAAACCTTAAACAGATCCCTCCCCTGAGGCTCCCGTGAAGTGGAATGTATTTTCTTTGGCAAATCTGGGAAATCCTGTCTGAGAAAGTACAGTGGGAACTGTGGACTGCCTTTGCAGTGAGCAAAAACCAGGCCCCTGCTACTCTGGAACCTTCACTCGAGTTCCCCGACGGGTGGTCCTGCCTGTGGACATGGGTCTACATGACGCAGACTGTGCTCTCCCAGGCCAGGCGCATCTGCAGCGCACAGCAGGCCAGATCAAGCCGGCTTTCCCAAGAGCCCTTTAGGGAAAACGGATGTAGATAAAGATCCTTTTCTAGAGATGCTTTCTTTTGGATACTAGTTAGCTTTATTGACTTGACATGTATTCTGTTAGTTTTGTTTCTTTTCACCCCAAGTAATCTTTGAGATGCCCAGAAATTACTAGAAGCGGCAGCTGCCATCGCCTCTGGTCTGGTTTCTGTGGTTGATCCTATCTCACCGCCGTGCTTTGGGGTGTGTGTTGATGTAGGGGAAATGTAAATGTTTGTTTTATCCTTTTTTGCTTCTGAGTTTTATGTGATAAGGTGGCAAATGAATGTCTGTCTTCTTTAAGGTAAGGTATGTCATCTTGAGTATGTGCCAGCCTAAAATCTAGGCCTGGTGTTGTTTGTTACCATCTGAGCTGTTGGCTGGGATGGTCCTGTTTGGTCTTGGCATCTGACTCTGGCCTCCCTGCCCAGGAGTCAGGTCTCGGGAGCTGGCTGTGGGCAAACATCTGCTCTAGGACCCATCCTGGTGACAGCCTGAGGCACAGTGTTGACCTGCTGTTTCCTGGCAATTCCTGGTTCTGGGCCCCCACCTTGTTGATCTGATGCTTTGACTTACACATACGCGTTCCCCTCTTTGAATTTGCTCTGACCCTAAGATGTGATACAGAGTCACTCTGTTCAACTGGCTCCTACCTAAGAGTTCCCCTCTGCCCAGGCCAGGCCCTGATAGTCCCCGGCCACCGTGTAGGACAAGGACCTTAGAAAAAGTCCAAAGCAGTTTTCAGTCCTCACTAACGCTGCATAGTAAAAGTGCTCTGTTTATTTCCATGCAACAAACTGTGAGCTTCAAATATGTGAGTACGAAGAATGCCTTTTCCCACATTTAATCCTTTAGTCCATAGTTACCGAGAACCTATTAGAATAACAATATAGGATAACATGCATAACAGTTATTGTATTATGTAATAAAGGCTCCGCTTATAAAGTAGTAGCAGTAGCAGCAGTAGCAGTAGTAACAGTCTAGTAGTGATGGCTTACAGCACTATTTACGATAGCCAAGTTATGGAAACAACCTAAGTGCCAGGGAAAGATGAGGGGATTAAGAAGATATGGTGCAGAGGCACAGTGGAATACTACTCAGCTGTAAAAAGATGAGCTCTTGTCATTTGTGACAACATAGATGAGAGTGGAGGGAATGATGCTCAGTGAAATAAGTGAGAAGTAGAAAAGCAATACCGCAATACAGGGAAACAAAGCAAAAGAGCAGACAAAACCAAACCAATAATAAACTTTAGAAACCTGAGTGAAGGGTTGAGACTATCAGAGGGAGAAGGAGGGTGGAGAGCAAAGTGGGCCCCACGGGGAGATCTGTGGCTGCCCTGGAGGCGGGTGCCCTGGAGGCGGGTGCCCTGGAGGCGGGTGTGGTGTAGTAACACACACTGAAGGGATGTGGTCCTATCCCTGTGTAGTGTCATAAACTAAGGTGACCACAACAATAAAAAAAAATAATGGTTTTATTTATATAAAATACTCTAACACTGTTCCATCAGTCTTAGCTTGTTTAATCCTCGCAATAATCCCTGTATTGCATTTTATTGAACAGATACTGTTCAACTCAAGAGACTGATATTTACTGTTTAAGAATTTGCCAAAGCCACCCAGGTAGTAAATAGAAAAGATATAATTTGAGCAGTCTTAGTCTGACTCATTACCTTATATTTTGAACTCTTCAGCTATACAGCTTCCCCCGCGCCAGACATTTTTCATAATATGGTCTGACACCTATTCTAACAAGGCACTATAAACACAGGATGATGTAACGAAAACCTCCAGGGAATTGTTACCCTGAAATTTCATTCCAAGGCAATTATTAAAAAGTATAATTTGAACCAATCTGCTACATTTTGGAGAATCTAGAAGAAATAAAAATGGAAACTTAGCGCAATGGCTGTGTAGCAGCCAATGAGGTTCTATTTGAGGCACGATTGTTGCTATCTGAAAAATAAATAGGGCCTCCCTGGTGGCGTAAGGGGTTAAGCACAGCATTTTGAAGCTATCCACAGTCACTGCAGCACGTGTTTGATCCCCAGCCTGCTAGGGAGCAACCCACATGGTGCAGCAGACCTCTCCTGTCTCGCCCGCTGCTCCCCTCAGCAGTGTACTTCGGTCAGTCTGCCTGTTCTGTTCCCCACTCTGTCTCTGGTGAATCTTCTCATCCCCTACACCTCTGGCCTGTTCCCCAGTTTTTTTATGCATAAATAAGTAAATCTTAAAAAAATGAAAGATAAATAAATATTGAGATAAGTTCTATTCATCTGGGAAAAGTTTGATATTATAACTGGGTGTTTAACGGTCTTAATTCTTATTACACAGAATAGGTGAAGTTTGACTTGTAAAGGCCATGACAAGCATGATCGACCCAAGCAAGAAGTATTGAACTAGGTCAAGTTAATTTCCTAAAAGGAAAACTCCAGGCAAATTCAGATTTAAAGAAAAAGTTAAGAAAGAGTTAAGTCCGGCACATGAAGGAATTTGTTTTAAGCTGATGCTCAGGTTAAAAAGACCAAGTTGGCATTTGGGTAGCGGAATCCAGCACCTGGTATGGGGCCTGCGGTTTTGAGGATCTAAGGATAGGAACACGGACAGTAAGATGCGCGGATCACTCAGCATGAACTCTGATCAGTGGGAACACACTAGTGATTGACTTGAGTTGTGTATTACTCCCTTTTTCAGGGAGTAACTCAGGATGTCACTCTCAGAATCCCTTGCCATCCAAATAAAGATGTTTTATGTCAGACAATTCGGCATCAGGGGAACAAAAGCAGGATCTTGACTGAGATGTAAATCCTTGGTTTCAGACTCCGAAGCTGCTTTTTCTCTGTGGAATCTTTTCTGAGGGTGACAACTGTTGTTTCTTCCGTGGTCTTCGTATTTGCAATGTGTTACTTGAAGGTGTCTCTTGAGACTTAACGTCAGGGACAGATGGTGCTCGCAGGCAGCGAGAGGCTGCAGGTGGCCGAGCACCCACCTGACCGGGAGGTGCACTCGAGAGAGTCAGTGTGAACTAATGTTTAGGAAAAATGTCTTTTACGCAGCTGTACCTAGAGTGCTGGGAGCAACCTTCCATTTGTTTTTGTTTTGGTTTTTTTCTTTTCCAAACAATCTGTGACTTTGGAAGACTAAGAAATTCCTCCCTAGAAAGACATCATTTCAAAGTAAATTGTGAACATGCAAGGAAAGCTTGGGAGGAAAGAAAAATACCACTCATTTGGGCAAAGATTGAAAAACAAAAACAGTTGAAGTCAGAATGTGATTCTGATACAGGAGGAGAAAGAGGTGGAGGGAGGCAGGAGGGCTGGGGGGGTCGGGAGGGAGGGGGTAAAACCACAATATGGTGGGCAAAACCCTGGGTCGTTCCAGTCGGGTTCTGGATCTGACAGCCGGTACCTGTGCTGTTATTTCCAGTCTCTCTGACTCTCAGCCTTCTCACCTGTAAAATTTAAGGCTTTTTCTGGATGTTTTAAGTTAATTTGAGGGTGTAAAATTCTGCTTGTGGTATGGTTGATTTTTCTGAATGAAGAGTTAAAAAAAATGCCTGAAACATATAAAGGTTCACTCTGTGTCTTATCACAGGCTGACGTTGAGAATATTATTTTCCGGCCAGTGCTGTGACTGTATGTGTTATCCAGATGCAGGCGTCTGCGGAGGCATTAAGTCCTGGCAGTCTCCTGCAATTAGTATTTCCTCTGTGTCGTCTCTTAAACAGTTGACACAAGTGAGGAGGAAGACAACCCCTTCTCCGTAGGTTTGGAAACTCAACCAAGAGAATGCGCTGCTACCTTGTTTGTGTTTTGCAAATATTAAGGCTCCTAGGAACCATCTTAGGAGAGATAAAACATGCGCATATTTGGATCCGAGAGATTTCCCTTCTG